TATAACGAGCAGTGACCACAGGATTTGGCGGGCCCTCAGCTGAAAGGCATACGGACAGACAAGCAGGCGGTTACTGCTACCAACGGAATGGGATCTTTTCGCTGGCTGCCGAAGATGAGAACGGAGTGCTTATGGGAATGTTCTGAATGATACAATGACGGGTTTTCACTAGGTTCAACTCACACGTTCTCTGCATGTCGTTATAGTCATAGAAGGGTTATGTCAACAGTTCCAGTTGCAGTTAAAGACCACCTGTTTGCCCATGCAGGTCTCCGGGGTGCAGTGGTCAAGCGGTTTGTATTGCGCTACAAATTGTGTACGTTTCGGGGGGTGGGGGGGGGGGGGGGAGATGGTTTAGTTTACGAGTGCACTTTCTACGGAGATCCCTGAAACTAACGTTGGAGCTAGGAAGTCAGTTCTTTGTGTAACGCTCTCAGCAGGCGGTTAGCTGTTTTGCGGAGAGAGACAGACCCATATGGGATGAATGAATACATGAATCAAGAACTGGCATCACTGCATTCGGGACTTGCCCACACGTGCTCCATTCCCTTCTTCAATAGCCAACAAGGAGTCGACATTGCAACCTGTTAAAATCCCACCTAAGCTATACTATGTTATGTAATCACAATCAACGTGACTGCACATTGTTTATTCAAATGTGTGTTCAGTCCTCCGATGCAGCAGCCACCCCAAGGTACTAATTGTTCCTATGAGAAGCTGTCGATATTGTCTTCAATCTCGGCCTCGGATGCGGCTAGACGTACTTAACCATGCTTTACTCCCCTGTCACGCAATCGTGTTGGTATCTGGGATTCCTCACTATCCACCAGTACAGCGTTGACGATATCTGCTCTGTCCATGCTGTTTTCACATGTATTGGTGCACTGATTGCCAGTTGGTCAGCTCGCTCACTACTCTATATGCCCACATGACCAGGTATGTGTATCCAGGTGAGGGAGGTAAAGTGTGATTTTTTAATGGTTTATACCCATTCAGAACGCATACCGCCTGTTGCTATCTTCTGAAGCATGTTCATTGTAAGTAAAAGTAAAGATCCCTTATTACGCCTTAGGCGCATCGGGTATATGGTTAGAGCGTCCCATATTTTTTGAGACCGATCGGCACTGGATGGGTAATGTGGTCAGCATTACGCCGACCGTCTTTATTTTCCCAGGATAGCCATCCTGGTACCCATTTTAGGCTGGGTCGATCTGCGACGCCCCATACCATGATAAAATCCACGCAGCAAGCAGTGGGTTTCGATCGCGGTACGTTGGATCACGAGTCGGACTCGCAACTCCTCAGCCACGGACGCCGCCATGTTCATTGCGTCTGATACAATTACTGCCTGTGTGGCGGTTTGCTTCCATACCCATGTTAGTGCTCTAGAAGCAACGGCTATCTACAAGGTAGTGCTTGACGTGGTTGTCTAGTAAGCTCCGCTGTCATCTTGAACTTGATTCTGCATTCTCTGCGCTGTATATGACCATGTTGACCTTTATCTGCGCTTCAAGAATCCATCTGTGAGGATCTTCTGGGTCTGAATGCATATTTATCAGTGCCCTTACCTGTGTCTACGGCCGCAGGAATCTGACCTCTGCAGTACTTACCGAGTGTGATGACAACATCAGAGATGCCATTAGTGTCTCCTAGTGTATTCGTCCATTTTTTTCCGTGAATGATCTCGTCTAGGTTACAGACGTGCTGAATGAAATTTTCATCCAGGAGCGGCCTCTTCTGAGACTCATTCCATTTGTGTCGTGTATGGCTTTGTTAAGTGGGTGATTAACGTCTTCTGATACCCTTATAGGCGCCTTGACTTGTGCGACCCATACTTCCCCTCAGTGTTGAATATCCCCCATAACGCCTGCTCATCCCGGTAAAATCAGTCTTTCAAAGCATAGATTCTGTCTGCTCTACAGCACTGTCCAGCTGATCTCAGGGAGCCTCCACTAAGTCTGCTTTATCATAAAGTAGCTCACCGCCTAGAGTTGCGGCACCAACTAATCAATCAGCCTGCTGGTTACCTCGCATACCTGATATGTTCCTAGGCTAAGTCTTATCAAGTCACGCAAGCCACTCCACACATATGAGGCCAGTTTCATTTTCTTTGAACCCTGTTCTGTGAGTCGGTTACAATCACAGCATGTAAGACTTCCTCACAAGCCATCCAGTAGCTGCCATTACTACCTCCAACTCCATTGTCATGCAGCAAGTATTAACGTTGTACGCGAGGCTCTATGTTTTTCAACAGTGTCCATTCGCCGTTGCAAAAAAATTCGTCCCATACTTTTTACCTCTCACTACAACCCTATCTGGTTAAGGGTCACCTTAAACTCGCCAAATAGAGTAGGTCACTTTTCATTCACAAGTTTCTTGAGCTGGTCGACTTTCATGAAGGTTATGGGTGTGTCCCGCTTTGCTGTTTGCTTGCTGCGATGTCTTGCATTTACGTTTTCATTCTGAGAAAGAGAATGCCTGTGACATAGGTTGCAGTACTCTCTAACTCTAAGGGATTGTGGTGGGTGGGGGGGGGGAAGGGTATTTAAGGACCAGTTTCCCAACGTTTTAGAGTGTTAAAAGAGCTGGCTTGCTTTAATATACAACACGCGATATCAACAGTATTGAGGAACATCTTCTCCTCCCCACTAACCTTGTGCCAAGGTGACAGATTCAGGAACTACCAATAAGAAGTGAGCTAGTGTGTTTATAGGCGGCGCGTGGGAAGACCATCGTTACTTTTACCCAATTGCGTTACATAGGCGTGTGTTTTCATTGATCAGCTCTTGCACCACTCACTATGTTTCACCAGCTATCCATTTATTTCATCCACGGTCCAAAGTTACTAGTTACTATAGGTTTTTAGTTACATGGGATAAAACCTCGGTGCAGTGCATCCTCTTAAAGTTAACTATGTTCATTTCATGCTGTTGGATATCGTCCAGATTCTTTACTACTCCCAGCAATTCTCATGAGACACACAACATTAAAGATCTATTTCAAACAACCGTCACTGATTGATTAACTGACTTTTCCAGCTTTCTGTTACCATTCGCCGTGACGTCTCTACAGACACGCATACATCTTAGAGAAAGCATACTTTACTCATACATAAAACCTAGAAATATGAGCGAAAACAATGCCTGAAGATTTTCCCTTATTCCCACACAGAACATAGTGCACTATGGGCTATATTCCTGTCAACATAAGCCACGTTGCTATCACGTGACTCCTGGACGTGGCGGTACCCGCCCGACGTCACACGATCCACCGCCATTTTGAAATCGGAGCACGGCTCGGCAAACAAGACATTCAGAGCAAACAAAATGGCGGCAATAAGAGAGGCGGGGTAGGGATCCGGTTGCGAAACTGGATCCTTTTCAAAATGATGGTTTGCTGATAGATCATGTCATAGAAATCTGCAAGTGAGTTTGGGTCACAGAGAGAGAGAGAAAGAGAGAGAGAGAGAGAGAGGGGGGGGGGGAATGAGGGAGGGGTGTTCTTAGCAAATTTCTAGCTAGTTATAAGGTTTTAAAATCTACTGGTGAATGTATTTGTTCGTGTGTGTGTGTATGTGCGTGTGAAGTTGCTAGAATAAACCGTGATTGCTGTAATGGATCGTTAAATTCAGAACAAGTATTGATTTGCACTTACAAGATAAGATCGTGTAGGATTAAATAAAACACAGTGAGCAGACGTGGAAGCCCGTGTAATTCTGCTGGTATGTCTTTCACCAATTCGCTCATTCGGCAGTAATCAACTCTTCTTTCTTGAGCACTTTATTCCCCAGTGGAGCATAGGGTCTCAACCAAAGGATGGCAAGACTTATTCTTTGTTATCGCATACAGCTCATAATGTGGCTTTCAGCTTTTCTCTCTAGTTTTTTTATGTCGTAATCTTTGACCTGTGGGTTCCTTTCGATTCACCGAATCCACCCCCCCCCTCCCTCCTTTTCCCATTGTTTTCCCTCCCCCACCCATTACACTAACACGATTATATGACTTCGGAGAAATTGAGCTGCAGTTCTGACATGGGATCGTAAGTGTTGGCCTTGTGCATTTTTAGCTTGCGTGTGCGAGCTACAAGATTTGCTAAGACTGACAAGTCTCCACTAGTTTTCAAATGGGACAGCAAAGGGCATTTTGTGTGACTGCCACTGGCACAGAAAGAAGCAGCCACGAGGCGACAAGTCTGAGTGTTGGTAGAATCGCAAGTAACTAGTGTTGATCTCAGGGGTATACTGGGAAATGGGTCAGTCGCTACGAGCTGAGAAATAATACACAGGAGCTGGTCATAGTACTGCATAAACTGAATGTATGAACGCTCAAGGAGCCTAACCAATCGACCAACTAACTGACTCGCTAGCTAGCTAGTAAACTAAATGCCCAACTAACTATTTGAATAGCTTTTAACTAAATCACTAGCTAACTAATAAATTAACTAACTACCTAACTAGCTAACTAGCTCTGTTGCTAGCCAACTAGCTAATTAACTATACAGCTTACTAACTAACAGTTTGACCAGCTTATAAACTCGACTAGATAATTACCTAACTGCCTAACTAACAATTGACTAGAAAAAACTAACTAGTTAACTAATTGGCTAATTCATTAACCAACTAACTAGTTTACTGGGCCAAATAACTGACTGGATGTCAAACTAACTATCTAACTAAGTGACTAATTAAATAATTCATTAACTAACTAGTTTACTAATAACTAACTGATTAGCTAAATAACTGACTATATGTCAAACTAACTAGCTAGCTAACTAACTAGTTTATAATGACTAGCTAACTAGTCAACTAAGCAAACATTGGGAAAAATAGCAACAAAACGAACGAAGCTCACCTCCACTCCCAGATGCTGGGGAGACTAACCCACTGGCTTCATATCCGGAGCTGAAAGAGTCCTGAAAGATGTTCATCCTGTCACGAACTTGCAGATCTTCATCATCTATACCGTCATGATCGTCGTCATCTTCATCTTCATCGTCAGCACCACAGCTGTTGCTATTATTGTTAGTATCATTTGGTACCTTGATGCTGCTGCTATTGTCGTCTCTAAACTTCCTGCCGCATCGTTTGGGCTGCATGGTGACTGCAACAGCTGGTGTGGGCGTCGGCGTCAGGGAGGAAGTTGCTGACGCTGATCTGCTAGGGCTGCGTTGTGAGAGGGCAATGGGATAACTGCCGATGTTGAGCTGGTGAGCGTCTGAGTTGTCCATCTTGGGTAAGCCGTACCAGCCCAGGAGTTCGTTCATGGTTGTCTCCACGTAGACCTGAAGTTGAATAAAGAAAAGATGGGCGGTTATTATGGCAACTACATCAATAGTTGGTGCCTATATAGAGGAGGAGATTTTTTTTAAGTATCCAGAATCAATGAGTTGTTAACCCTTTGGCTCAGTACTATTGATTTCGCAACCCTTCAGCGCTGATTCCATGATAAATAGCGTAAATCTAGTAGAAATGTGGCTTCTCTGCCTTCCCCCGGGCGTGAACCCTGACCATAAAGAGTTCGTCACCCGGTCACTGCTAAGTCCAGTTTAACCAACTACGCTAGCAAGCAGGGCAGAGGAAGAGATAGACAGAGTGTACGTCTGAAGAGGTGAGTATACTCGCATATATATATATATATATATATATATATATATATATATATATATATATATATATATATATATATATATATATATATATATATATATATATATATATATATATATATAGGGAAGTGGATACACAGATGCAGTCATTTACAGAGGTGGATATGTTATAGTGCGGTTCAAAAAGTTATTCCTCACACTATACAAATATCTCAAAAACTCATGAACAGATCAACGTTAATTTTCGAGTGCAACTTTAGATGTACCGTGTACTTATAATGTTTTAGTTTTTAAGAATGCACAGGTGATGCTGTTTGCTTACAGTGGCAAACTTCTTTGATTTTTTTTTTTTTTTTTTTTTGAATAATAATGTGCGTTCACCGAAAAAAGATTGAATATTCATTAACTGACACACGCCTAGAGATTGTTTTGAAAACATTTTTCATGTGCTGCGATGTGTGGCGATGATTTTGATAGCCTGTCCGGCATACAATGAAAAATCCTCAACACACAGGGACTAATCCTAAGGTCTTAGTTTTCTCTAGAGGACTACACTAGGAATTCATTAAAATTTAATTTCATTACCTGTAGTTTATATTTACACTAAATGAAATACACGAAAAAAAGGTGAACACATAACAAAATGTCAGGACGGTTATAACACGAAGGAGGTGATGATATAATGTGGACATCCTGAGAAGTAGCGAGCAGACACTGAAATTGCAACATGGGGCTATCTTCTTCTTCGCGTTCACCAGCTGTAAACTCTGGCGGAAGGTTCTGGTTGCTCGTCCACTACTGAACTGCAGTCCTGCTCCAGAACCTGAGTGTTGCGTGCGCATCAGTTTTACAGATCTCATTCTCTTGAATACAGACTGTTGGTTCCTTGCCTCTCTGGCAGATGCACTCCAACTTCAAAGGAAGCTCCCCAATTAGTCGACTCTTACGACATGCTTTTGGGGAGGCAGTGGGGCTATCGAGAGGATTAGTTTCCGTGTGAGTTCCCGGGCCCAACTGTGGGGGACAAACTAGATACACTGCCCGCTAACAAGCATGTAGTGAAAGTCGACTAATTAGAGCTGTTTACTTCGAAGTCGTAGTACGTCTGCATCAGAGGAGAGGAACCAACAGTCAACATGGTAATGAATCAGATCTGCAAAACAGATGTGCATGGAAAACTCAAGTTCTGTCATACTGAAGTCCAGACAGGGACAAACAACGAGAATTTTTCTCTGAAGTTTAAAGCTGATGGTGAAGAAGAAAAAGAAAATGAAGAAAAATAAAAAGAAGAAGAAGAAGAAGAAGAAGAAGAAGAAGAAGAAGAAGAAGAAGAAGAAGAAGAAGAAGAAGAAGAAGAAGAAGAAGAAGAAGAAAGAAAAAGAAGAAGAAGAAGAAGAAGAAGAAGAAGAAGAAGAAGAAGAAGAAGAAGAAGAAGAAGAAGAAGAAGAAGAAGAAGAAGAAGAAGAAGAAGAAGAAGAAGAAGAAGAAAAAGAAAAGAAGAAGAAGAAGAAGAAGAAGAAGAAGAAGAAGAAGAAGAAGAATAAAGAAGAAGAAGAAGAAGAAGAAGAAGAAGAAGAAGAAGAAGAAGAAGAAGAAGAAGAAGAAGAAGAAGAAAAAAGAAGAAAAAGAAGAAGAAGAAGAGAAGAAGAAGAAGAAGAAGAAGAAGAAGAAGAAGAAGAAGAAGAAGAAGAAGAAGAAGAAGAAGAAGAAGAAGGAGAAGGAGAAGAGAAGAAGAAGAAGAAGAAAAAGAAGAAGAAGAAGAAGAAGAAGAAGAAGAAGAAGAAGAAGAAGAAGAAGAAGAAGAAGAAGAAGAAGAAGGAGGAGAAGAAGAAGAAGAAGAAGAAGAAGAAGAAGAAGAAGAAGAAGAAGAAGAAGAAGAAGAAGAAGAAGAAGAAGAGAAGAAGAAGAAGAAGAAGAGGAGGAGGAAGAAGAAGAAGAAGAAGAAGAAGAAGAAGAAGAAGAAGAAGAAGAAGAAGAAGAAGAAGAAGAAGAAGAAGAAGAAGAAGAAGAAGAAGAAGAAGAAGAAGAAATGATTACAAAGGACATAATTGGGGGAAAGAAAAGGGTGGGATAGGGCAACACTGAGAGCCTAATATTATTCAAAAACAGCTGATGAATGTTGATAATGATACTGATGACTAGAGTCTCACATACTCGAATAACTCAAGCTTTTTCCATATTTGTGACCTTTTGCAAATACAAAGGAACTATCCATTCTTATTTTACATTAAGATTTGAAAGAAAGAAAAAAGAAAACCAGGCCCTGAAAAGTAAATCTACTGGAGGTAGAAAGATCAGGTTTAAAACCAAAAAAAAAAAAAAGCCCACAGCTCAAGTTTATTTCAAGACTATAAAATATTCCACGCAGTAGCCTCCATTCTTTGAAATCCAAGGCGCCTGCAGATGGCTGCAAGCAGATAACAGCCAACGGCCTGCTCTGTCCCAGGGTTTCTCACGTGCGTCTTTGGCTCATCTCCAGTGTCTTGAAGCCAGCTGGTTTTCTCCGGTCGTCCAGATTCTCTTACCAGTTATGGTTTCGTGTTTCGTTATTTCGCTTCCTCTCGTGTAAGCTCGAATTTGGGCTGTGTATGGCTCGGAGACTTGAATATCTCAGTGTAATTTTTATTTTTAAATGTGGAATTGGGGTAGGGGGGAGGCGGATGGTGGACCCCCCACCCTCCACCAATAAAAAGGGGGAGGGGGAGGTGATACATTTAAGGTTATATCAGTAGTAGTACTTTGACACTTGATATGGTACAAGAGATGACCAGGAGTATTATTTCGTTTTGGAACTGAAAAATTTAGTGATAATTTCAAAGTTGGGCTTCAGGTCCTCAACAGTCATCGGTAACCGGGTCGCCTACTGGCTCGCCAATGGACGACTTCGTCCCAGTTGGGACAGTATTTGGGTCTGTCTCCTGTGATAGCATCAACACTGAAGGAGTCTTTTCCATGGCTCTTTGTGGCGTTCAATGCTAAGCTATTTTATATGGCGCACATGAACTAGTCACAATTATAACTTTAAGTTCCCCCTTTCGGGGCTGCTGGGTAAACGTGACGACTCCCTGCCCCCCCCCCCCCCCTAGCAAAGCAAGCATTACCTCAGCCATTCATAAAAGTATCAATTCCATTGCCTTGGTTCCAACCATAAATATATAAATTCGCACCTTCAAAAACTACTCCATTCATGAAAGGTCGATTGAAACACATCGGAATCCACACAAACAGAAATCCATGTACACATTTTGAAACGGTGGAACTATTTGCAAATTAATGCATCCATTCACTAGTGTATCTATCCATACATTTATAAGTGGAAGCACTAATCTTTTTGTTCCGTTTACCAGCTGTAAACTCTGGTGGAAAGTTCTGGTTTTTTGTTCACTTCTGGACTGCAGTAATGTTCCAGAACCTGAGTGTTGCGTGTGCATCCGTTTTACATATCTGACTCTTTTGTATGCAGACTGTTGGTTTCTTGCCTCTCAGGCAGATGCACTCCGGCTTCGAAAAAAAGCTCCTAATTAATCGGCTCTTACGACATGCTTTTGGGTGAGCAGTGGGTTTATTCTTGTTTTCCATATAACAGGGCCCAGGAACCCACACGGGTAAAAGCACTAATTGATACACAAACTTTAATTCCTTAAAACATAAATGTGTTTATTCATAAATAAATCCATACTACGTGCATGAAGATTAATAGTTTCATACATGTACAAACACAATTAATACCCGATGCACGCGTATATGAATAAATAAAAATGACGTACACACACACACACACACGTGTGTGTGTGTGTGTATATATATATATATATACATATATATATATATATATATATATATATATATATATATATATATATATATATATATACATTTTATGTAAACTTTTAATAAACAAAACAATTTTTCCCTAATAACGCATCATATAATTAAGGCACTACAAAGACAAAAAACATAATTTATTTCATATTCAAATAGACACAAAAGCGTAAATCATTTATATATATATATATATATATATATATATATATATATATAAAAAATTCATCAAAAAGGTTATATTAGGAATAATAAATGCGCAGCGCTTTGAAAGTAATATCTATATTATCTGTATATTTTATCTGTATATATTACATCTGTCTCCAATGTACACATATGACTGACACTTTTGTCAAGTCAAGCCATACCGAGTATTTTATTTTGTTAGTCGTACCACGCTTTGAAACTGAATATTTTTAGCTGGAACTCAATATTAACTAGAGTTATGTCAACGGCACATTCATGACCATGTCTTTATGTCTGCACATATCTGGACTGAGGTGATTTATAGTGGTCGCTTCAAAGAAGCCCAGCATCCTGCGACGGGAAGCTATTTTTTTTTAACCACGAGATATGTTGCAATAAATATTTCATAGCAGAAGTAAAATAATAATTACATTCAGAGTAATAGTTCTCAAACAAGTTCCTAGCAAGTCATTAAGTTAATAAGTGTGATTTTAACCACTCAGAATGGTACGCCATTTAATATGAATGAGACGGTGGTGTTTCTCTCTCTCTCTCTCGCTCTCTCTCTCTCTCTCTCTCTCTCTCTCTCTCTCTCTCTCTCTGCTCTATCACTCTCATTCTTTCTCTCACTCACACACACACACACGATCTCGAGCACACTCCAGCGC